TGATCTGGATATATATATATATATATAAATAAACAAACTCTCAATTTCATGATACTTTCACACAATATTTACAATAAACAATTGTGTTTTTGTAACTACTACAAAGTAGACTAAGTGATCAACACTAATTCAGTCTTTCCTCATATTCAATACAGTTTAACACATCTACTGAAACATTTAACAGTAAATAATATGGAACCAACAACTTTTCCTTGCAAATCAATACGATTGTCAGATTGATGATTTTAAAATATTTTGGTAAACTTCTCTTTTCTTTTTGCGAGAAAGACTGGAAGAATATTTGCATTATAGTATTACAAGATAGGCAAATTCAAAACAATGGTATGCAACATATTATGACGTCTACACCTTTTAATTTGTATGTAAACAGATGACTTGGTAATGCTGACTTGTTCCAACGTGGACTAAAGTTATTCTTGGTTTAAACCTAATACATTCTCTGTTTTCTTTTTTTGCATGCAAAACAAAAGGGGCAGCAAAACTTTCATGTGTCTTGTCATGTGTTTAGTTTACGTCAAGAGTTTCCAAATTTTGAAAATTGCCTTTGATGGAATTAATGTAGTTACATTTTGACTGACTTCTGTATGCAGCCTTTAAATACTGAAAAACTGGTGAACTTCTTTTTTTATAGTACAGGGTGTCTTAGAAATTGTGTTCGTGTTGCCGAATTTGTTGCTCAGAAATTCTCTTAATGCAGGTGCCTGAGAATTGGCTTATAAAAATCTAGTAATACGGCACTTTATGTTTTGTAAGCACAATGGACGAGAGTGTTAAAACTCCAAATACATCTAATCAGCAGCTGGTGATAAATAGTGACAATGATTCGGCAACGGCGCTGCTGCAAGAGAAGCAAGAAAGGAGAAGTGATAGTTTGCGAGATGTTAGTTTTGTAGAATACATGACTGTTGGAATATTGTGCTTCGTCAATCTTATCAACTATATGGATAGATTTACTTTAGCAGGAGTGCTGACATATGTAAAGGATGAATTCGAAATCGGCGATGACAGTGCTGGTTTCCTCCAGACTGTGTTCGTTGTCGCGTACATGGTGTTCGCGCCTATTTTCGGCTACCTGGGCGACCGGTACTCCAGACGCATCATCATGGCGTTTGGAGTCGGCCTCTGGAGTATGACCACATTGTTTGGATCTTTCATCACCAATTTCACATGGTTCGCGGTCTTCCGCGAGCTAGTGGGCATCGGCGAGGCGTCGTACTCCACCATAGCTCCCACCATCATCAGCGACCTGTTCGTCGGTAATGTTCGCTCCAAGATGCTGGCCATCTTCTACTTTGCCATACCAGTCGGCAGCGGTATGGGGTACATCGTGGGCTCAGTGGCGGGCGGGGTAGCGGGCGACTGGCGCTGGGGGCTCCGGGTGACGCCGGTGCTTGGCGCGGTGGCGGTGGCGCTGGTGGCACTCGCAATGAAGGACCCGGAGCGGGGCGCGGCTGAAGACAGCCACATGACGGCCACATCCTACAGCGACGATCTGCGCTCGCTTGTTAAGAATCCGTCGTTCATGCTGTGCACTATTGCGTTCACGTGCGTTACTTTCGTAACGGGCGCGCTGGCTTGGTGGGGACCGCAGTTCATATTCCTCGGCCTCAACTTGCAAGAAGGCATGGATATGTCACTGGAGAGGGTGTCGCTAATCTTCGGCGGGCTGACAATGGCGTCGGGTCTGTTGGGCGTGCCACTGGGCTCGTGGCTAGGCGCTGGCTTGGTGAAGCACTACCCACGAGCGCATCCCATCATCTGCGGCGCGGGCCTGCTGCTCTCCGTGCCCGCCATGACCATCGCCGTAGCGATCGCCGACCAGTCCTACTACGCACAGTTCATCTTCATGTTGCTTGCCGAAGTCACACTGAATCTCAACTGGGCCCATAACCTAATAAAACACGCCGGGAGGTTGTTCAAAGACTAAACTTTTTATTTTCTTAATACAGAGACAATAGACAATTATCAAGAGATGCTAATAGTTGTCAACAGATGGCATTATTAGTATATATAAGAAAGAATATTATTTTGATAGTAATTTTAACAAATGAAACAGTAACAATTTGTGAATTGATTATTAATAACTGATAAAAATTTTGCTATGAGAAATTAATTTAAAATAATAATAAAAATATTATTAATATTTTTTTATATTACACATATATTTAATAAATGCTTACCTACAACAAAATTAATATACTGTGTTTCCATTTCATGTCCTAATTAATTCTGAATAATGGGTAAAATGCACCAAATTTCAGTATTTTAAGGAATTTTAATATTGACCAGGTGAGTTTCGGTTTCGGCCGAAACTGAAGCCATGGCCGAATATTCGAATATTCGGACTCTACACACCGTTAATGTCAAAAAGTTAGCAAATTGGCCGGCAATATATGCTTACTAGCGGTCCACGTTAAATTTAGTTTTTTGAGATTGAGGAGCTCTATGGCGCAAGTGGTTAGCGCGTTCGCCTGAAGTATAGCAACTTTCGCAGTGGTCGGTCATTGGATGGGTGACCAAAAATGTACTATCTCGAGCTCCTCCGTGCTTCGGAAGGCACGTTAAGCCGTTGGTCCCGGCTGCATTTGCAGTCGTTAGTACCCACTAATCCACACTGGGCTCGTGTGGTGGGTCATGGCGCAATCTCCTTTTTCCATCCATAGGAAAGGCCTGTGCCCCAGCAGTGGGGACGTTAATAGGCTGATGATGATGATGAGATTCCCACAGGAACCTGGCATTTTTCCGGGTTAAAAAGTATCCTGTCTCAATTAAGTTCATAAACTATATGTATACATTTTTTTAAAATTTAGAAAGCTTTTAAAAAGGCTTTTTCGTTGACAGTGTACCATCATTTGTTGCTTCTATTCCATAACGCATGTGGTCTTCACCTTTAATTGTAATAACATTAAGCTTAAGTATTTTATCATTACCTGGTAGATTGTTGTGTCAATGTTTATTATGTTGGTGATCAAATAAATATACCAAATTTCATCTAAATCCATTCAGTAGTTATGAGCGCGATTGAGTAACATGCATCGGCAAATGTCGTTGGATACAGCACCGGAACTGAGCCACTCAAGAAGTGGTTCTCGGTCTGCGCTGCCAGATTTTTTTTTGCCAAGTCGGTATACGATATTAAATACCCTAGATACACCACGAGCGCTCAAAATGTGTCCAAATCAAGAAGTGCTTGAACTCCACTCAAGCACTTCTTGGTTCACAGTCACGCGCGGACCGTTACAAAGTCAAGATGCCACAGAAGTCCGCGAAAAAATGCGAAAATAATACTTAGAGTAAGAAGTGTCATTTTTTCGACAGGTATCTAGTCGATGTTTGTTAATTTAACGCATTTGAAGTAAATTTTGATGTAATAATTAATATAAACTTATTTAATACAAATGCATGTTCGGTTATACGTCGCCGTATAGCCGCTTCTTTTCCTCGCGGTCCGTGCCTGCTATATTGCTAACAGCGCGTTCAGAATTGCTCGTAGAGTCAAAGAACTAAGGTCTAAATTCTTCCGCATATAGCAATAAGTCGTAAAATTTTACGAGCTTACATTTCGAACTGTCAGAAGTCCTTGACGCATGCGTTTTATTTAAGACCTTATACAGTATGTATTAAAGGTTTCTTTCAATATTTAAATAATACCTTATATTGATTTTGACTACGCGATCATCTTACGGAGCTCCGTGGATCGTTCAATGGACCTTTTGGACAGGTTTCAGGCACGATTTTGTTCGTGTTGGTGTATCTAGGGTATTTAATATCGTTTGAAAAAAGGCGGGATTCTTTCGTCGAAAGCGGGACATAGTAAAACAAACGTATATAATGAAAAGTTATTGAATATTTTTGCTCATTACGCGCCGGGCAGGCGGCTAGTCCACACTTGTCTGTGCCACCCTCCCGCGCTCTCTCAGTACGCTGCACGCACGGTCCATTTATTCCCGAAAAGCGGGATTGAGCTTGTCCCGCGCGGCACTGTCGGGATGTCTGGCAACGCTGTTCTCGGTAAAAAATCTATGCAGACTCGTTACAAAAACGAAACAATTTCAAATGCCATGTTGTTTAGGAAAAAATAATCATCATGATAAACCCTTTCGAGGGTTATCATAAAATAGATGTGTTTTTTTGTTTCTTATTTCACTAGTTTGATTCCAGGTTTTGGCAGGCGATTTTTTTTAAAATCTGAATGCAGTTCTAGTTATTATTAAACATTAGCGGCCGCCCGCGACTTCGTACGCGTGGAGTTAGTTAGAAATAAAGGTTCACTGCTCGTTCCCCGTAGGTGATAGCGTGATAATATGTAGCCTATATGTTGACCCGACTTCTTAATAATATTCGTGCCAAATTTGAAGTAAATCCATGCAGTACTTTTTGAGTTTATTCCGGACATACATACAGACAAACAGACAAAAAAAAATTTACTTTGGTATCGACTGTAGATCACACCCCAAGTATTTATCTCTCAGAATTTCTCATTTAAGCGCACCGAGCGACATCTATTGTAAAAAAATGCATTTTCTTCGCAATAAAGCTGCCACCTGGACGTCCTAGATACAGACTTATTATTATAATACGATAAAATAAAATATTACTATGATTCGTCCAATATATTTAAAGTCAAAAACCTTTCCAATTTTATTGTTTTCGTCTTACAATCAGGACACGTGGCCTGTGATGCGATCAGCCCACGTGTCATGACGCGAGTTTAACATTTTTTACCCATACAGAAAAAAGTGTACTACGCCGCTAAAGAAGTTTTCAGTTCAAAAAACGTAGAATATATACACGTTGTTGCGAGAAGTGTTGCTGCGGCGAGAGAGCGTGCCCGACTGAATGCAAGTCGGGCATTTACCTGACTTTCGTATTGCCAAATTAGATACGTGTATGACGTATGTGTCACTATAAAACATCATAGACCCTTACAGATTGTGTTCATACTTACAATATTTTTAAAAGCGTTTGTTTTTGAACAGGTGCATGCCATCTACGTTGACCAGTTCCCCATCGAAGTGAGGCACTGCCTGGCCCCTTGGATCGAGAGCCGAATATGGTGAGACATTAGCGTACTGTACAGGAGCTCTACTCTCTTTCTCCGAAACGAAATTTCGGTAACGAACGAATTTTAAACGAAATTTCGCCAATAACTCTAATCTATTTTTCGAACACGCACATAAAGTTTGGAATCACAGGCAATAGGGATGATGATTATTTTTTTTTTCTTCGTTTATCAGGTAGATTATCAAAAAGTATTGGACACGTATTTTTTCTTTTTTCACATAATATAAACATTGCAGAGATATATTGATTTGAAAAGTCGCATGACGTCACGTTTTAGTACACTTATAAGTGAAAATTCACTCAAAAGTGACGTCACGAGCCCCTACTCCCAAACTTTGACGCGCTATAACTTTGTCATTTTTTGGTTGATTGCCCAAAGAAAAAACCGGCCAAGTGCGAGTCGGACTCGCGTACCGAGGGTTCCGTACAAAAATATTCAAAAATATTTTTTATTTTATGATGTAACTAAAAATTTACGGTTTTCGCAATTTTTCCTTTATCTGTACTATAAGACGTTACTTCGTACCAAATTTCAAGATTCTAAGTTCACGGGAAGTACCCTGTAGGTTTTGATTCCCGTGCGAGTTTCGAAAATTTGCGGCATAAATGGCTGTATCTTTTGATTGCTTTGGCTTAGAAGTTTGATTTTTTCATAGCTCCAAGGGACAGTAGACCTGAGTATAAGGTATGAATTTCAGTTTGATACCTCCACGCGTTCCTGAGAAAAACGGTCTTGACAGACGGACGGACGGACAGACGGACAACAAAGTGATCCTATAAGGGTTCCGTTTTTTCCTTTTGAGGTACGGAACCCTAAAAATACGTGTCCATTATTTTTTTAAACATCTTACTGACGGACTAAATAGAATTTCGTTTACTGTACCCCATCATCACCCCTATTTTCGTGAACGAATGGAATGAGTCATGTTTGTGAGTTCTTTTTATCTCCACTTTAGATTTCCTGTTTTATTTGGAAACAATATTACTTAACTACAAAATTTTTGATGACATTAAAAGAACCAAGACGGTTCTAGTGGACAGTGTTAGTCGACTAATTTGTAGAGTTGGTGCACTCCATTGTATGTCGACCTAAATTGGTCGTTTAATACTTTGAAGTATTGGAAATACAACAGTAAAATTAAATTAGGTGTATTTGTTAATTTGACATGCTAAAAATGTTCCTCACGCTAAGTAGCCTTCATTAAAAATACTCTAGCAGTCATTTTAGGTTCCATTTAAAAGTCTCAAAACGAAAATGAAAAGGTAACACTTTTAATTTCAGGTTAAAATTTCGAACAATGAATGATATGTCAAATTCATGCGCCCGCTAAAAATGTTATTATTTCTTTTTATTTAATTTCATATTAGATTTTTAATTAAAGTTTCAGTTTGATTATTACAGTTTATTTTTATTACACTAAAATTTAGTTATTTAGGGACTAAAAAGTGGTTCGTGCCAAAAAATAATAATGTAAAAGTGGTCCCTGACCTAGAAAACGTTGGGAACCCCTGGTCTACAGGCTATGGTGTGGCCGCTTACCTTAAGGCGGCCCATAAACTTGTTTATCATCCTATTAACATACAGGGTGTAAAAAAACCGATAACGAAGTCGAAGGCCACGTATTTTCCACAGCACGACGATCATTTTTTTCTTCTGGACCATACCTGGGAAATTTATGGTTATGGAGATATTGAAGGTCAAAACCAAAATATTTTTTTCAAGATATATACATTAATATTTTCAAAACGTTATTTAGAAACTTTTATCGACGCACTTAGACACACGCACACACATACACACAGGCACATTCTTTGCGTAGAGCCACTAGAAATATATTGCGTACTGGAAAAAAAATGTATTTTTGTAACTTAAAAATACAATTTTTTCCCACGTATAATATTTTGTAATATGACTTGTTTGGGTGTACAGAATGCGTAGTTTAAGTCTTTGTCATGGGTTTTTTACACCCTGTAGAAGATACACAAACGTGTACGTCTACACATTTGTGACGAATAACGTTTTGCAAAGTCCCTTCTCCGCCAGGACTCCTGAACCAGAGGAACAGCAACGCTACTTCGTTGAGGAGCTGGTGCAAGAAATCACTACCCATGCAGAACTGCTGCTGTCTTCAGACATGTTCGTCACTAGAATGAAGCTGCTGGAAGCTGCGAAGAACATCCGTCTGCAGTATAGGTGAGTTTGGGTGACAAAAACTTCAATATAAGTTAGTTTTTGATAGTTACTTCTAGGCGCAGATAATAGATGGCGCTGAGAAGCAGTAACGGTCATAGAGGTAAAGAATAGAGTGGGGATGTCGGCACTAAAGTCCGTCTAGTAGAAAGAGAAAGAAGATGAGAGACCGCTACCTACCTCTCTATCTTGTGACGCATGCGCAGTCGTCTGTCCAATAGTTGGTCCAAGCATCACATCAAAATAGTAAGATGCTTACGGTCGCCAATGCGCATGCACGATTAGAGAGAGAAAGCTAGCGGTCTCTCATCTTCTTTCTCTTTCTATAAGGGGGACACTTCCACTTGTAGTAGAGTCTATATCTCCCCTACTCTATTTTTATACCTCTATGGTACATCATATAGTAATTGACACAGGAGATCAACGATCAACGCACGCGTTTAAGAATCAAATGTGTGTTAGCTTGCAAATAAAGAGTTTTTCAACTGTTGCTATGTTCAGATATGTTTGTCACTAGAATGAAGCTGCTGGAAGCTGCGTAAACATCCATCTGCAGTACGGGTGAGTGACTGTACCGATAGATGGCGGTAGTTGTCAGTAGTTAGTTATAGGTCTAGATAATAGATGGCGCTGAGAAGTCACGTACAGTAATATTGTATATCTGCAGAGCAAGCATAACCTACTTTAATCACGTAGATGTATCTAAGAAATGCATCATATTACGTCATTGTATTAGGTATATAAAAACATTTACTTTTCTTAATAAATCAATGCTCCTCATGCATTCAACAATAACAGTTGTCTTTCTTCCTTTATCCTAATATCATTAGGTAGGGGGTCACCCCTACAAGTAGGAACGATATATCTTATTGGAACTGGTGCAAGAGATGTACAGCTATGCAGAATGATGTGTTTCGGTTGCCGCTTTACCAACAAATACTAAAAGCAGAAGTTTTTATTTTTTAAAGGGTCTCCTATACATAAATTTTCACCCTTCTACCACCAACCCCTATTTTTTTATGGCGGTATGAAGTTAGCTGGGACAATATATTGTTTTAAACTTTCATGGTCACTAACATTATAGTAATATAAGTTATTTACGGGATTGTTACCATATACCTTGTTTTTAGCGAGTTTCCGATATTTCGGCACTGTTGCAAGCGCCATGATCACGGAGTAACTGAAGTAATTGCGGGTAGGCTGTTATTGGCAGACATATCGGTATACCCTCCGACGAAGTCTTTTATTGCGACCCGTACCACTGTTCACATTCTCACTATTCACTCGAAACTGTTCTCGACAAACAACACTTACAGTATCGGATCGCGACACGACACTTTTTTGATTATTTCCGGTTTTACACATACGAACCACAGGATTCCAGACACTCGACCCGAATTTAAACCCGTCCTCACGATTGAAATTTTCATGTTTTGTTATTTCAATCGCTTCCCTGACCAATCTCGGTATGTAGTGGCGTTCTGTCGAGATAATCTGTGGGTTATGAAACTCAATCCAGTGGTTAGAACCAGAATCAATCAAATGTTCCGCGATGGCTGATTTCTGCGTATCGTTGTTCTTGATTGCTTTTATGTGTTCCCTCATTCGGCATGATACTGTTCGCTTTGTTTGGCCAATGTACGAACTGCCACAGCTGCAATCGATCTTATAGACACCAGGTTTCTCCAAGGGGAAGTTGTCTTTAGGAGACCGTAGGTATTGTGAAACCTTTCGCACAGGAGTGAAGACAGTGTTTAGTGAGTACTTATTCAGTATGTTTGAGATCTTGTCAGTCACTCCTTTGACGTATGGTAAATAAACAGGTTGTCTGTCTACTCTGTGTCTCTGGTGTCTTAGTTTGTGTCTTGATGGAAAATGTCCCTGGTATCCATTACTCTGTAAGACTCGTCGTACATGCTCCAACTCTTCTTGAAGATGTTCCTCATCACACAGGTCATATGCACGGTTCGTCAGTGAAGTCATTACAGAGTTAATATGTTTAGGGTGGTGATGCGAGGAGGCGTTGAGATAGCGGTCAGTGTGTGTTGATTTGCGGTAAATGGAATGACCAAGCGAACCGTCATTCCTCACCCGAATCTTCACGTCCAGAAAGGCCAGACTTCTGTCTTCTATGAGATGGACTCATAGGTAAAGTTGATTTTAGAATGGATACCATTTAAATTTGCCAAGTGAGACTCGACATCATGTTTGTTACCTCTTAATATACAGAATACGTCATCGACATACCTCTTCCATAGTTTTATTTCTGTGGGTGCGGTGATAAAGGATTTTTCTTCAAAATGCTCCATTCATATATTGGCAACCACTGGAGCCACGGGACTGCCCATTGCGACCCCATCTATTTGGAGGTAGTACTGACCCTGATATATGAAGAAATTCGTCGACAAACAATGATGCACCAGCTTGGCATATTTGGCCAAACAAAGCGAACAGTATCATGCCGAATGAGGGAACACATAAAAGCAATCAAGAACAACGATACGCAGAAATCAGCCATCGCGGAACATTTGATTGATTCTGGTTCTAACCACTGGATTGAGTTTCATAACCCACAGATTATCTCGACAGAACGCCACTACATACCAAGATTGGTCAGGGAAGCGATTGAAATAACAAAACATAAAAATTTCAATCGTGAGGACGGGTTTAAATTCGGGTCGAGTGTCTGGAATCCTGTGGTTCGTATGTGTAAAACCGGAAATAATCAAAAAAGTGTCGTGTCGCGATCCGATACTGTAAGTGTTGTGTGTCGAGAATAGTTGCGAGTGAATAGTGAGAATGTGAACAGTGGTACGGGTCGCAATAAAAGACTTCGTCGGAGGGTAGACCGATATGTCTGCCAATAACAGCCTACCCGCAATTACTTCAGTTACTCCGTGATCATGGCGCTTGCAACAGTGCCGAAATATCGGAAACTCGCTAAAAACAAGGTACATGGTAACAATCCCGTAAATAACTTATATTAGCTGGGACAGCTAGTTAAATATAAAATGATGTCTTCTTTCAGTAAAATATCCTATCTTCAATATATAATAAAATTTTCCCTCCATTTGACATTACCGTGGGACGTCCTGTATATATATGAGTATTGACGACCTCCGTGGCCGAGTGGTTTATACGCCGGGTATTATGGTGTCGCCGACTCGAGAGGTCCCGGGTTTCGAATCCCGGTGGGGACAGATGTTTGTGTGATAAATACGAGCATTTGTACTCCAGTCATGAATGTATAATATTTATTTCTATATAAATATACTTATATATGTACAATATATGTATTCTATCCGTTACCCAAGTATCCCATAACACTAGCCTTACAGTGCTTACTTTGGGGCTAGGCTGTGGTGTGAGTGTTGGAAATATTAAAATAAAAATAAAATAAATAAATATGAGTGATGCGTGCGCTGCTCCATTCCCCTACGCCTTATGCACCGCCTAATGTTAGGTTATTTAAGAAAAGAAGTTTCACTTCAGATGTGTGCTCCGTGTACACATTTTTTTTTACATAAAGAACTTTGCATATGAATCTTTTCGTTTTGTTTCTAGCCAAGCACCCCACGAGCTCTACGCTTACATGCGTCGTTGTCTGGCCTTAGAAATGGAAGTGATACAAAACGCAATGGGGCCACAGTACGTGGCGCAGCCACAGACCGAGAGAAAATATAGCGAGGTAACAAAATAAACCTTATATGACCTTTTTTTAATTTTATTTATTGTTACTTGAAAGCAAAGGACGCTATGCCCATACATCCTTTCAAGTAAATATTTTTTTTATATGTATTTTTTTGTGTCACTAAACAGGCCCTGCCAGCGCTGTTGCGACACAATGTCGCCGTCCCCGTGGAATCTTTTCTAGAAAAAAAAATCTTTGTTTTTATTTATTTTTAAGCATTTAACTGCTAGATGTTTAAATCTTAAGAAAAGTTTTACTAGAAAAAAAACCACGTGGACCAGGCAGCGGACAGGACTCGAACCTGCACCCTTCGCAATCCGGGCGTATTCCATAAAATTCTTTAGATTTAAATATATACTATTTAAATAATGCGATTCAAATAAGAATAGGAAAGCCTATGACCTCTATCTGTCAAATGTCGCTTGAAAAGTACGGTTTGCAAAAAAAAACTTAGAATCCTTTTTTAGCACTCCGCTAATTCAAGAATAAAAACCAAACATTTGTAAACAAACAATAACAAATATTGATAATTAATATCGGTAAATTTTTTTTTCACTGATTGAGCCTTGGCCATGCATAACCTAAATCGTCTTCAAACTTTCGTTTACATAAAGGATGCATGTTCGTATGTGACCTAGTAATAGTGCATGATTATTCATAACTACTTCAGCGGTAATGCAGAAATGAGCGGAATAGAAGAGCTACATTCTGATTAATGTTTTTTCTCACAGTCTTAATAAATAAATATTACTAAAAATCGGTGGTTTTTTTTTCTCAATATGAGTAATTAAATGTTATTTTAAAAAAAAATCTGATGCTTTTTCTCACTTAATCTTAGTAAATAAGTTTTATTAAATAAAAACTTTTTTTTGCTCACTCTACTTATTTGGTTTGAATTGACATCTATGACATCAGAATATGGCGCCCATTCGGTCCTATTCTTAGTTGAATCACATTCGCAGGAGTTTTGATAATGCTTCTCTTCTCAGTTTAAAATCTTATTTTCTGGATTCATTTTGGGTCCTGTCCATAGATTATCTTGATGTATTGATAAGAGTGGTTTTTCTAGCTGATCGGGGGTCTTCAGACAGTTAGACAGAAGGTCAATATGGTGAGCGAGGAAATTAGGGGTCTACAAGCAAATATGGAGTCTTTCTCACTGCAGTACCACGAGTGCATCAAAAACAAAGGTAAGGAGAATCCATTAGTCACCCCAAAGTAAGTACTGTAAGGCTTGTGTTATGGGATAATAGGGTAACGGATAGAATACATATCATCATCATTAGCCTATTAATGTCCCCACTGCTGGGGCACAGGCCTTCCCTATGGATGGAATAGGGAAAATGGGCCATGACCCACCACGCGGGCCCAGTGCGGATTGGTGGGTGCTAACGACTGCAGATGCAGCCGGGACCAACAGCTTAACGTGCCTTCCGAAGCACGGAGGAGCTCGAGATAGTAATTTTTGGTCACCCATCCTATGATCGACTGCTAAAGTTGCTTAAGTTCAACGATCGCAGCCGAACGCGCTAACCACTTGCGTCATCGAGCTCCTAGGTAATACATATACTGTACATATACAGGGTGTTTCTTCTAGGGTGTCAAGCCAGTGCGAGCTGATAGCGGAGTACCATACCTATCAATTTTAATTTAAGGAGTACGAAAAATCGTAGAACATGCTTGGGATGTATGTTCTACGATTTTTCGTAGTTTGCGAGTTAGATTTTTTTTTGTCATTTTTTACAATTCAGCGATTAGACAACTTGGAAAAAGTATAACTTTTTTGGGTCAACTTTTCTTCGATTTTTTTTAACAGAATGCCTATTGTTCATAGTTTTATAAGTAAAATTATCTCCTTCCTTACTTTAACCCAAGATATTTATTTTCTGTTAAATCGTTAGTCCCAATCTTTAAAATTTTTGGAAAATACCCTTTTTGCACGCTTATGAAAGTCAAATTTGATGCCATCGGTTCAAGAGTCTACCCGAAGTCCTTTTCTGAGAAGAACCGGCAAGAAACTCAGCAAGTTTTGCCCTCCCTATATATTTTCTATTTGTATTTATTTGGAAAGAGTCATATACCACATCTATATATATAAAACTCAACGGTAGGCTGACATAGTGATCTATCAACGCACAGCCCAAACCACTGGACGGATCGGGCTGAAATTTGGCATGCAGGTAGATGTTATGACGTAGGCATCCGCTAAGAAAGGATTTTGATCAATTCTACCCCCAAGGGGATAAAATAGGGAATGAAAGTTTGTCAATTTTAAACCGAACGGACTGAGACTTTGCATGCAGGTATAAGAAGAATCATAGATGAATGTCATTGTGTATAATACAAGCCTGAGAACAAAAACTGTAGTCTACACTTCAGCTCTATACCGAAGCGAAGCGAGGGCCGGCCGCTAGTAATGAAATAAAAGACCAGTAGTTACTTAGTATGATATATATATTTCCAGGACACATAAGCTACCTACAGCAGGCGGCGAGCCCCATGAATACTGATCGACGTGATCTGCAGGCGTGTCTGAGAGCACAGGTCGAAGATATGGAACGGAAACTGAACGTGCTGGTGAGTTTACCAAATTTCATATCAGTAGTGCAAGTAAAGTTTATTTAGGAACAAGTGGGTTACTAATAGGGTATTTGACAATTTTAGAAAACGATCTCACGTTATTGACTTATGTTTATGGAGTCCGTAAAAAGTGACTCCATAAACATAAGTCAATAACGTGAAAAACTCCATTTACAAGTTGCCGCGAAAACGTTTCTCTGGAGAATATGGCGTCTTATTAGTGTGTGACGTCACACGACTGTTATTAAAACGTCAAACGATACAATGTAATGTCAGTTTAACCGGAAGTTTACTTGCGTGTGACGTCATTTTAGGCTCCGCCAATCCCAAGCGTTTTGGGTCACGTGACAATGGATAAGAAAACTATTATCTTTTTTGTTAGTTTTTGGTAAAATTATGAATATTTTTTTAGTCAAAATAGTAAAAACCCCTGCCTTAGACCATTAAACCACTGGACTAAGTACGCGCCTAATTTTACTCAGTGCAAAGTCTGTCACTTTTTGAGGGGGACGAGGTAAACCACTACATTAAAATAAACTCACACAGCCTTAGTTATTTGTATTGTTACAATCGCATACAAATATATTTTTTCACCTACGCACACTAATGACAATCACAAGTAATCGTAACTAGGGAAAGTTCGGTATCGATATTTTAGTTTTCTTTAAATAACAATATCGATAGTTTTTCTTGTTCTCAAAGATTATTTTATAAAATAAAAATATGACAACGGAAAAAATTACTCCGGGTCTTATATTATTATCTTTATATCTATCTTATATTATAATACTCTCACTGGCACAATTACCCAATCACTTATAATTTTTGCTAAACTTAGAAAATCGTTTCGTGAGAGAAAATCTTAAATGTCATTTGTTTTATGTATATATGTTCATTTCTTTTTATCTGTCAAATAGTCGTTTCAACATAGGTACAGTCTTGTCCAGAAATGTGTGTTAAATTTAACGATTTCGACAATATAAAAATATTGCTACTGTAAGTGTAAATGGCCAGAGGTAAATTAAAATGAAATAAAAATACTTTAAGACATTACATTAAAACTTTTATTGAAAAAAGTACAACATGAACTCAAATAATCTTCTGCACTCATTTTTATTTAACATTATTATGATTATTACTTTTACCACTGAGAATAATTGTAATACAGATCTTGATCTGTTGATGATTTCATATCTTTTAGGAGCTTATGTCAAACGAGTCAAAACTTATCATATATAACACACTTATATTAGCCTCACTTGTAATTAACTAGATAAACAAATCTGGAAAGTCGAATTCAATCTAATTCTTATTCTCATATTGATTCAAAACTTGGTAAGTGTATGTGTATGTAATTTGGATGACAATACAATAATCTGATATCATTGAGCCAGTCTGATAATGAAGCCAGGAGGTGAATAGTGAATTCTTCAATGTTACCAAAAAGATCCCCCGAGTCTGGGTTTATTTGGTCTGTTTTAATGAACACTCCTGCCACCATTCCAATGTTAAAGTATAAAAACTTATTTTTACTCAACCGTCATGAAACCACCAGCTGTCTTATCGTATTTTTTCTCTACTCTGACTTTTATGTATTAAAATACATACGTACGTTACGTTCATATAACAGACGCAAGCACGCACAAGCATGTATTATTATTTTTTCTAGTTATATTTTCTTTAGATTTAAATATCAAGCAGTTACATGCTTAAAAAAATTATAACTATAATTGCAATTTCTTCTTTCAAATGTTTAATACTTGTAAAAGTTTTCATTTGACATTGTGGGTTATCTACAATGCGAAGAGATGACGTTGCCTTGCAGCTTAAGAATGGCTAGAAGTATTTCGACGCGGCCATTACATGCTTAAAAACAAAAAAAAATGTATTATCGATATTATTTTTTCAATTTTATTTCCCATCACTTAAAAGTCGTAAATAAATAGTCTCGCTACACTCAATTCAAGTTATATAATTTTTATTTCGAATCTTAAATGCGGGGCCTAAGGTCGAAACTTGATAATTAAAAAATGTAGTCTCGTGGGGAGTGCCTTTGCAAGTCTCGTGGGGAGCATACAATGGAGACTATATTCGCCAATAAATAGTTAAGGTCACTAAAATGGACTCTATATTTCAATTATAAGGTATAAAATCATATGAATATGTTTCGGCACATATTCGAATTGGATCTCACTCGATTACTTGCAAGTTTCTATTCTCGATTATTGTCAAATTCATTTTTAATTGAAAAAAAGCACTAAAATATAGAAAAAACACTTACATGTGAAATGATATCGCATTTTTTTGTAAATTAGAGGTGTTTGATCTTTTTTGCACGTTAAAACGGCACAGGTTAGCATTTTTTTGCGAGGAGACACGGGCTGTTGTCACTACGATAACGATTCTCACACTGTGGAAATCTATCGATTGTAAGTAGTTTTTATGAACGCACTGGATCATTTGATCTTATACCTTGACAGAGGGGAAAGATCTTGCGAGGCTAGTCCTGTGGTTTAATGGTCTAAGACCCCTGCCAATATTCATTCTAAACACAGATGCTAACAATTGGCACTTTATTTTTAACACTGTCAAATACCGTGATGTTTGTTTTTGTCGTCAGGTTGCTCAAATAAACCAGGCCCAACTCGAGTTGGCCGATCACATGAAGGACAACATCGCGAACCTGCGCCAACTACAGAGCCAAGTGTTGGACGAAGAGCTTATCAAGTGAGTTACAGATGTACTAGCGGCCGCCCGCGACATCGTACGCGTGGAGTTAGTTAGAAATAAAGGTTCACTGCTCGTTCCCCGTAGGTGATAGCGTGATAATATGTAGCCTATATGTTGACCCGACTTCTTAATAATATTCGTGCCAAATTTGAAGTAAATCCATGCAGTACTTTTTGAGTTTATCCCGGACATACATACAGATAAACAGACAAAAAAAAAATCCATCTTTTTGGCTTCAAAAAACTCTAAAAAAACAAAAACTATATTTTTGGCTTCGCTATCGATTGTAGATCACACCCCAAGTATTCTATTAAAAAATTTTCAATGCACAGTTTTGACTTTCCTACCATTTTATTATATTTATAGATAAATAATCTAAACTTGTTGTAAACAACTTTCTTGTAACACATTCACTTCCGGAGACATCTATCGATCCACCTAGCATTTTAAGTTTTGTAGTTAACGATATAAAATACAATAGACACCACGTGCGCTCAAAATGTGTCCCAATCAAGAAGTGCTTGAACACCACTCAAGCACTCCTTGGTGCACAGTCACGCGCGGATTATTATCTTATATTTTTTTCCATATTATACAATACAATACAATTCACAATTCTTTATTGAAAACACCACAGTACAGTACATAAATGGGGTAAATACATTATGTTTAAACATAGTGATTTATCGCCAAAAGCGATTTCATCCAGACAACCTTTGGATGGAGAGGATTGAATGAAACTGGAGTCGGTGGTGATATAAAAGAAACAAGGGATATAAAAATGTATATAACTATATATATTAAGTATATATACATACATAATATATACACACAATATAACTATAAGATACTAGCGGCCCGCCCTCGCTTCGCTTCGGGGTAGAATTGATCAAAATCCTTTCTTAGCGGATGCCTACGTCATAACATCTACCTGCATGCCAAATTTTATCCCGATCCGTCCAGTGGTTTGGGCTGTGCGTTGATAGATCACTATGTTAGTCAGTCAGACCTTTGAGTTTTATATATATATATATACATATAATATAAATATATGACACATACATAGATAACACATCTTTATATATATAATTCTTCTGTGAGTGTGTATGTCACTGAACTTCTCTTAAACGACTGGACCGATTTTGATGAAATTTTTTGTGTGTGTTCAAGGGGATCTGAGAATGGTTTAGATTCACAATTTTGTCCGCTGGACAATGTTTTTTTTACAGGACAACGTCTGTCGGGTCCGCTAGTATATATGTAAGTTTATATCATTACTAGCTGTCCCAGCGAACTTCGTACCGCCATAAAAAAATAGGGGTTGATTTGAAAGGGTTGAAAATTCAGGGTTATATGTATTTACTAATGCTGTATCATAAAAAAATTAAAAAAATATATATATCTAAAATTTAAAAAAAATAGGGGTGGATTACCCTTAACATTTAGGGGGATGAAAAATAGATTACATCCGATTCTCAGACCTACTGAATATGCATATAAAATTTCACGAAAATCGGTCGAGCCGTTTCGGAGGAGTTTAACCACAAACACCGCGACACGAGAATTTTATATATTAGATGTGTGCCAAAAAGGATTAACTTATCCTTTTTTTCCTAGGTGGAAACGCGAGCAACAGTTAAGCGGCAATGGCGTTCCGATGCAATCCAACCTCAATACAATTCAGGAATGGTGCGAGTTACTTGCTGATCTCATATGGACCTCCAGACAGCAAGTCACTAACTTGGCACGGATCAATAACAAGGCCATTCAAGAGTTGAGACAACCACATTTAGTTGAAATGTTGGATGATATGAGCAAACAGGTGAGAATTTCCTTATTAAAAAAGTTGTACTAGAGAAAAAATCCAGACATCAGTTTGATATACTAACTGGCATACCTCAAGGATCGCACTTCGGCCCAAGCGTGTTTCGAATATCAAATATTATATTAACTTTACATATTATTTTCATTACATTGCATTATTGAAGTCACTAACTTGGTACGGAACTATAACTGATGTTCATATTTAGTTGAAATGTTGGATGATATTAGCAAACAGGTGAGAATTCCCTTATCATATAATAAAGAAAAATGTACTATACAAAAATCCAGGCATCAGTTTGATATACTAGCTGGCATACCTCAAGGATCGCACTTCGGCCCAAACGTGTTTCGAATATGGAATATTATACCAACTTTCAATATTATTTTCATTGCATTATTGAAGTCACTAACTTGGTACGGAACTATAACTGATGTTCACAGTTAGTTGAAATGTTGGATGATATGAGCAAACAGGTAAGAATTTCCTTATTATGTAATAAAGAAAGTTGTACTAGAGAAAAAAATTCAGGCGTCAGTTTGATATACTAGCTGGCATACCTCAAGGATCGCACCTCGGCCCAAGCGTGTATCGATTTTTTTTTAATATTTTCAACACACACCAATTAGCCTAGCCCCAAAGTAAGCACTCTAATGGATAGAATACATATGTTCATATAGAAATACATATTAAACATCTATGAATGGAATACAAATGCTCGTACTCATCACACAAATATCTGCCCTCACCGGGACTCGAGACCAGGACCTCTCGAGTAGGCGACACCATGAAACCACTCGGCCACGGAGGGCGACAATTATTATTCTAGTTTCGTTTCTTTTCACAACTACATTAGGTTTGCTATATTAAGGTACTAGCGGCCACCCGCGACTTCGCACGCATGGAGTTAGTTAGAAATAAAGGTTCACTGCTCGTTCCCCGTAGCTGATAGCGTGATAATATGTAGCCTATATGTTGACCCGACTTCTTAATAATATTCGTGCCAAATTTAAAGTAAATCCCTGCAGTACTTTTTGAGTTTATCCCGGACATACACACAGACAAAAAAATCTAAAAAAAACAAAAACTATATTTTTGGCTTCGGTATCGATTGTAGATCACACACCCCAAGTATTCTATTAAAAAAATATTCAATGCACAGTTTTGACTTTCCTACCATTTTATTATATGTATGGATATTAATTTCGTATTACATCATTCAGGTCACCAGTTTGCTGTCAACGTTGGTGACATCTACCTTCGTGATAGAGAAACAGCCGCCTCAGGTCATGAAAACCAATACCCGGTGAGTTGAATATTTAACTATTTATATATCTAAAGTGAGCGAGAGCGAGGAGCTCGATGGCGCCAGTGGTTAGCGCGTTCGACTGCGGTCGTTGAAGTTAAGCAACTTTCGCAGTGGTCGGTCATTGGATGGGTGACCAAAAATTTACTATCTCGAGCTCCTCCGTGCTTCGGAAGACACGTTAAGCCGTTGGTCCCGGCTGCATCTGCAGTCGTTAGCACCCGCCAATCCGCACTGAGCCCGCGTGGTGGGTCATGGCCCAATCTCCCTAATCCATCCATAGGGAAGGCCTGTGCCCCAGCAGTGGGGACATTAATAGGCTGATGATGATGATGATATCTAAAGTAACACACAATTAAATAACTTAGGAGGAAGCTAAATAACCAGGTGCTCGATGGCGCAACTTGTTAGCGCTTTCGGCTGCGATCGTTGAAGTTAAGCAACTTTACATATTTATAATTTTTATTATTTTTAAAGCATGTAACTGCTTGATGTTTAAATCTAAAGAAAATATAACTAGAAAAAAATCTTTAGATTTAAACATCAAGCAGTTACATGCTTTAAAAATAATAAAAATTATAACTATAATTGCTATTTCTTCTTTCAAATGTTTAATACTTGTAAAAGTATTCATTTGACATTGTGGGTTACCTATAATGTGAAGAGATGGCGCTGCCTTGCAGCTTAAGAATCGCTAGAAGAATTTCGACGCGGTCCGTGAGGGCCGCGGTAGCATAATTGGTCAGTGCATTCGCCCGGATTGCGAAGGGTGCGGGTTCGAGTCCCGTCAGCTGCCTGGACCGCGTGGAATTTTTTCTAGTTATATTTTCTGTAACTTTACATGCTTACATATTTTTGTTAAAGAAAATTAAATTTAAAATGTAATAATTCCATGTCATTTTTAAAGAACAACAAAACAGCGATTTTAATATTCTAAAAGAACAAATAATTAATAACTTTTCTGTTCTATGGTCAAGTGATCGAAAACGCCTGGGATTGGCCAAGACTAAAATGACGTCACACGCTAGTTATCTAACGTTCAAAGTGACATTACATTGTATCGCTTGACGTTTTAATGACAGTCATATGACGTCACCACTAGTGAGACGCCATAATGTCCAGAGAAAAGTTTACCCGGCAACTTGAAATTTTATTTTTTTATTTAGTTAATAAACTTTAGTCAACAATGTTAAATCGTTTTCTAAAACATGTCAAAGTGATAGGGTGCTTTAGATATCATCATCAGCCTATTAATGCCCCTACTGCTGGGGCACAGGCCTTCCCTTTTGATGGAATAGGGAGCCTGGGTCCATGAGCCGTTGGTCCCGACTGTAGATGCAGTCGGGACCGATACTAAACATATCAATAGGGCCGTGGTAGCATAATGGTCAGTGCATTCGCCCGGATAGCGAAGGGTGCGGGTTCGAGTCCCGTCCGCTGCCTGGTCCGCGTGGATTTTTTTCTAGTAAACTTTCCTTTAGATTTAAACATGTAGCAGTTAAATGCTTAAAAAATAAATAAAAACATATCACTTCTTCTATCACGGCTTCTTTAAGGGGGAGGTTACTGCACCAGACGGGCGCTCCAATTCGAGCGGGAATACTTCTCTGAATCGATCTCTACTGATATCACAAAGTACATAACTTTATCGCCAGGTCATCATCAGTCTATTGATATCTCCAATACTGTGGCACAGGCCTTTCCTATGGATTGGAATAGGGAGATTGGGCCATGATCCACCACGAAGGACCAGTGAGAATTGGTAGGTGCTAACGACTGTAGATGAGGAGCCCGATGGCGCAGGTGGTTAATGCGTTCGGCTGCGATCGTTGTAGTTAAGCAACTTTCGCAGTGGTCGGTCATTGGATGGGTGACCAAAAATTTCTATCTCGAGTTCCTGCGTGCTTCGGAAGGCACGTTAAGCCGTTGGTCCCGATTGCATCTGCAATCGTTAGAACCCGCCAATCCGCACTGGGCCCGCGTGGTGGGTCATGGCCCAATCTCCCTATTCCATCCATAGGGAAGGCCTGTGCCCCAGCAGTGGGGACATAAAGAGGCTGATGATGATGATGAACGACTGTAGATGCAGTCGGGACCAACGGCTTAACATGCCTTTCGAAGTACGGAGGAGCTCGAAATAGTAAATTTTTGGTCACCCATTCAAAGAAAGACCACTGCGTGTGTGTGATACAAAAGTGCATCAGCTAAATCTATTTTTCATCCCCCTAAATGTTAAGGGTAATCCACCCCTTTTTTTAATTTTTTATTATGATACATCATACACAAATACATACAACCCTAAATTTTCATCGTTCTACCACCAACCCCTATTTTTTTATGGCGGTACGAAGTTCGCTGGGACAGCTAGTTAATATAATGTAATTGTTGCAGTTTCACGGCTACAGTCCGGTTACTGGTTGGGGGTCAGCTCAACGTATATATGACGCCACCTAGAGTCAGTGTAAGTATTCAGTACTTTATTATAGAGCAGAGCACAGTTTTAATAATATAATATATAGATCAGTCAAATCAATCGATTTATTAAACAAAAATCGGAAATTGTCTCAAATCAATAATTGTACTTGAACAGATTAAAATTGTGATATAATAGTACATTATGATATAAGTGCGGTAAGTTGAGAATTACAGCCGAGGCGATATTGTTAGCCCCTAGCCGTAGGTGAGGGCTATAAGAAGGCAGAGGCTGTAATTATCAAACAGCACGTATGTCATACGACGTTTTATAACACATTTGCAAGGAAATAATACTACCTACGTACGTATTTTCTGAAAATGAATTTGCACCTTTGTTTGTTTTCCATAAGATGAAATTTTGATACGCTTGACTGTAAGCATCTAACCGTGGATTTTTCGGGCTTAGCGTAACGTTTATCGACTTCGAGCGGTGTCAAATTATTAAATTCGTTAGTACTTGACAATATTTTCAAATAAAAATAATTCTGGGAAAAGAAAAAGAAATAACCTTTTCACAGTTTAGCGATGCGCGCGCATCAACGCTTTTTTTAGGCAAAGGAACAAAAAACAGCCAGTGTAAATAAAGTAAATTAATATTTTTGTGAATTTGTTACCGATACATGGTTGTAGTTTATTGACAAAATGAATCAAATTAAAGAATTCAATTTTTATATATTATGTTTTATCTACCAAAGTTAATTTTATTAAGAAAATGTTGGCTACCTCTCTGACGTAAAAACTCTTTGCTAAGATTTAAAAAAATATCGTTCGTTTTTAGACGGAACATAATAAGCCGTGCGTTTTACTTTACATTACCGCACGCGTGTGTAATGTGGTAGATTATGATATTGAAATTAGTGCAATAAGAGACGCTTTACGAGCAAATGTGTTATAAACAATATTAATTGAAAAAAATCCACGCGGTCCAGGCAGCGGACGGGATTTTTTTCTAGTAAACTTTTCTTTAGATTTAAACATCTAGCAGTTAAATGCTTAAATATAAATAAAATCGTAACTATAATTGCTATTTCTTCTTTCAAATGTTTAATACTTGAAAAAGTATTTATTTGACATTGTGGGTTGCCTACAATGCGAAGAGATGGCGCTGCCTTGCAGCTCAAGGCTAGGAAAATTTCGACGCGGCTAATAGGGCCGTGGTAGCATAATGGTCAGTGCATTCGCCCGGATTGCGAGGGATGCGGGTTCGAGTCCCGTCCGCTGCCTTTCTTTAGATTTAAACATGTAGCAGTTAAATGCTTAAAAATAAATAAAATCAATATTAATTGAGTCAAAACAATTTAAATTTACCTTTTCTGCTTACAGTTCCCTTTTGCTAACTTTAAAGAGACTCAATTTTTTCTTAGGTGGTGATAATATCCGAACAGCAAGCTCAGTTGCTACTCAAAAGCGAAACCCAGGCCGGTAAAGGGAAGCAGCCGGTTGAATGCGGAGACATATTGAACAACAGCGGAGTCATGGAGTACCAGGCTACTAGTCGACAGCTTAGTGTCAGCTTTAGGTAAGGAAAATGCAGTTTAAAATGGCTAAAGGAATTTCGATGCGGTCCGTGAGAGCCGCGGTAGCATAATTGGTCAGTGCATTCGCCCGGATTGCGAAGGGTGCGGGTTCGTGTCCCGTCTGCTGCCTGGTCCGCGTGGATTTTTCTAGTTACATTTTCTTTAGATTTAAACATCAAGCAGTTACATGCTTTAAAAAAAATAAAAATTATAAAGGTAAATGTTTTTGAAAAAGAAAAAATAACCGAAAAACCGAAAATACTGCTTTACGATTCATCAAAAAATAAAAAAATAAACAGCGGAGTCATGGAGTAGTATAATAATACTATTGTTGATTTTTTGATGAATCGTATAACTCTTTTTTTTTCAAAGTTGGATATTTTTTTCTTTTTTACAAAAAGAAAAAAAAATTCACCATCCATCAAAAAATTAAAAAAAAACGGCGGAGTCATGGAGTAGTATAATAGTACTATTGTTGATTTTTTGATGAATCGTATTACCCTTTTTTTTAAAGTTGGTTATTTTTTCTTTTTTTCTACAAAAAAAAATTTTTTTTGTACGATCCATCAAAAAATTAACAACACCGGTGTCATGCATTAGTCATCAGCTCAGTTTGAGCTTCAGGTAAGAAGAGTAATTTTTGACTGATTTCAAAGAAAGAGGTTCTCGCTAGGTTTACAAAAAAAAAAGTTCCTTTTCAGAAGGTATGGCGGATGGGTTCTAAGCGTAAAAGCTATTTTAGTTAGGTTTTCTTTTAGGTAGTTATTTAGGCTACTAGCTAGGCAGCTATCTAGCCAACAAACTCAGCAGCTAGCTAGACAACAAGCGAGGCAGCGCTAAGCAGCAATTTAGGATAGGCAACTGGCACAAACTATATAGCAAACTAGCTAGGTTGTTATCTACTAAAAATTCAGCAACAATGGTGTCTCTATTCTAATGACTACGTAATAAGCTCAGCAGCTAGCTAGTCAACTAGCGAGGCAGCTAGCTAGTCAACTAACTAGGCAGCTAGTTAGTCAACTAACTAGGCAACAAGCTTAGCAGCTACCTAGATAACTAGCGAGGCAGCTAGCTAGACAACTAGCGAGGCAGCTAGCTAGGTCACAAGCGAGGTGGCTAGCTAAGCAACAAGCTCAGCAGTTAGCTAGGCAACAAGCTCAGCAGCTAGCTAGTCAACTAGTGAGGCAGCTAGCTAGTCAACTAGCGAGGCAGCTAGCTAGTCAACTAGCTAGGCAACAAGCGTGGCAGTTAGCTAGGCAACAAGCTTAGCAGCTAGCTAGTCTACTAGCGAGGTAGCTAACTAGGCAACTAGCTCAGCAGCTAGCTAGACAACTAGTGAGGCAGCTCGCTAGGCAACTAGCGAGGCAGAGCTAGGTAACAAACGAGGTGGCTAGCTAAGCAACAAGCTCAGCAGTAAGCTAGGCAACCAGCTCAGCAGCTAGCTAGACAAGTAGCGAGGCAGCTAGCTAGGTAACAAGCGAAGCGGCTAGTTAAGAAACAAGCTCAGCAGTTAGCTAGGCAACAAGCTCAGCAGCTAGCTAGTCAACTAGCTAGGCTACTAGCGAGGCAGCTAGCTCGACAACTAGTGAGGCAGCTAACTAGGCAACTAGCGAGGCAGCTAGCTAGGCAACTAGCGAGACAGCTAGCTAGGCAACTAGCGAGGCAGCTAGCTAGGCAACTAGCGAGGCAGCTAGCTAGGCAACTAGCGAGGCAGCTAGTAGCCTCGCTAGTTGATTAGTAAATATCATAATCCCCTCTTGGGCTTCCCTATTATAACTATAATAAAAAAACAGCAACAACGGTGTCTCTATTCTAATGACTACTACTATAATAGGAGCGCGGCAGATTAATATATGGGAAGATACCTTACATCTAGTAGAGTACCTCTACCAAATCTGAGGTCTCCATGTAGTGCCGCGCGCGAAGACCAGCCGATCAGAATAGTAAAAAAAAACGATAGGCGGAAATACTCGAGCGCGTCAGATAAAGGTATGGTGGTTTAGTTACATGTAATTAAGCATTTATATTATTTTTATTATTAATATTCAGCATGCTGAAGAGTGTGTATTTCAATAATCTGACGATTTGAGTGTGACGTAAGGGGGTGGGAGGGTTCCAAAGTTGCAAAAAAAACGATGTCTGGACATTCTCGAGCGCGTTAGATTTTTTTTTAATTTAAAGGTAAATTCAAGGTTCATGGAAAACATATAATCTGCCGATTTGGACAACAAAAACTTGCCGAAGTAACAAAAATCGTTAATAAAGTTTGACGACCTCCGTGGCCGAGTGGTTTGTACGCCGGGTTTCATGGCTGTCGCTGACTCGAGAGGTCCCGGGTTCGAATCCCGGTGGGGGCAGATGTTTGTGTGATGAATACGAGCATTTGTACTCCAGTCATGGATGTTTAATATGTATTTATATAAATATACTTATATATGTACAATATATGTATTCTATCCGTTACCCTAGCATCCCATAACACAAGCCTTATAGTGCTTACTTTGGGGCTAGGCTAATTGGTGTGAGTGTCAAAAAAAAAAAAAAAAAAAGTGTTTTTTCTCCGTGTATTATATACAGAGTTGAAAAATATTTAGTATATACGAAGCGGCATCAGATAGGTACCGTAGCTGTTATGAAAAATTACAAATACCCATCAAATTACAAGAAACACTATGTCCATGCATTACGATCATTAAGATAATCAAAGATCTTGGGGAACTTTATTATATAATGCAATACTACAACCCAAATGAACTTCATTTTTGGAGAGACATGGAACCGCAATCATCATCAGCCTATTAATGTCCCCACTGCTGGGGCACAGGCCTTCCCTACGGATGGAATAGGGAGATTGGGCCATGACCCACCACGCGGGCCCAGTGCGGATTGGTGGGTGCTAACGACTGCAGATGCAGCCGGGACCAACGGCTTAACGTGCCTTCCGAAGCACGGAGGAGCTCACGATAGTAAATTTTTTTTGGTCACCCATCCAATGACCGACCACTGCGAAAGTTGCTTAACTTCAACGATCGCAGCCGAACGCGCTAACCACTTGCGCCATCGAGCTCCTGGAACCGCAAGCTTGTTCTTAAATCTCGTGTTAAAGTTATGGGTATGACCTTTTTTGCAAATGCGTCATGGTTTTTTCTCACAGTGATCTGTGAGATATGATATGATTATCTCAGTCTACTTGATAAGGCATCAATATGAGGATCCCATTGCAGACGCGAGTCTTAAGTAATACCCAGAAACTTTGTAGAATCCACTAATTCTACAGGCTGGTCATTTATTTTTATACTAGTACTCGTGGCCCGCCCTCGCTTCGCTTCGGTGTAGAGCTGTAGTGTAGATTTAAATGACTGTTCATCATATAAGTAATTATAAAAAAAAAACTGAAAATGGTATATTTGCCTTTTCCAAACTTCTGTTGACATCACAACACTCAATTGTTTTGCCGTCCCAGAACCACTCCACTAACATTTGAAAGGATATGGTAAAGTTTTGTATGAGCGACTGCCCTGGCAATGTATAAATACTGTACTTAGTAATAGTTAATGGTAAATGGCTAAGTATTTATAATTTCTATGAAAAAGGCTCAGGAACTTTTGATAGAGTCACAATCTTGAAAATTATGAGAACTCCTGCTAAGTCATTACCTTACTAAAGTTGATAAAAGATGTTGCCAATTATTTACAGAGTGATCAATTTCGCATTTCTTAGAATCTTTCTTCCCATTTCTCTGATTTACTCCTCACAAAAAGTTTTTTAAAGCAAAAACAAATACAAATAATTTGTTATCGTGGGCCTGACAGGAAATCTGTGAAGTTTTATTTTGTCCATTTGCAAAAATTAAAGGATTAATTATCATACAGCCTTGTATCAAGCCTAATCAGAATAATAAAATCGATTATTTTAGGCCTTCCATTTCTTGTAACAAAAATTAGGGCCAAATATGTCATATTTTGAAGGAGTTTAGAAATAATATTGTTTATTTCGATATACTCGTACTTACACAGATATTTTTTGTGTACATTTATTGTTCATGTATTTTGTAAAACGGAACATTTTGCTTTTGAAACAAACATGGAAGTCAATTTTTATACTTTTAAATATTCGATTATTTTACGAAAGTTGTAAGAGAATAATAAACAGGTAATTAATAAAAAAAATATTGTAAAGTTACGGGCTAGTGCGAAATGTTTATACACGTTAAGGGCAGTTTCTTAACCATGTCCTTTATGGTATGGTATTAAAGTTCAAATTGACTTTAAAGTATAATTACGAATCGTTTGTATGGGAGTATAGAAAAGTGTTGTTTTTGGACATTTTCAGGCAATTTTTTTAATTTGTCTCTGCGTAACAACCATTCTCGTACTTCAAGGAATATTCTTAAAAAAATAATTATCTAAATCGGTTCAGCTACTCTCGAGATTTGCGCTTAGCAACACATTGAGCGATTCATTGTTATATTAAAGATTTATTTTTTTACTAGTATTAACCTGCCTCACATTAGGTAGAGTAAACTTAACACATTTTGATTTACTAGAGTTTAGTTTTAAATTCTTCCGAGTCCGAGAAGGACTTCCGAGAGAGCACAATAGGGTATTTGACAAGTTTTAGAAAACGATCTCGCGTTATTGACTTATGTTTATGGAGTCCGTAGAAAGTGGATATTCATCATTCTGTTGTGTATTTCAGTAAAAATAACCAAATCAAAAACTCCATTTTCAAGTTGCCGCGAAAACGTTTATCTGCCCACGCCATATTGGGCAGACTAGTGTGTGACGTCACACGATTGTTATTGAAACGTCAAACGATACAATGTACTTTAACCGGAAGTTTACTTGCGTGTGACGTCATTTTAGGCTCCGCCAATCCCAAGCCTTTTGGGTCACGTGACAATAGATAAGAAAACTATTATCTTTTTCGTGGGTTATTAGTAAAATTATGAATATTTTTTTGTAAAAATAGTAAAATCCCCTGCCAATATTCATTCTAAACACAGATGCTAACAATTGGCACTTTATTTTTAATACTGTCAAATACCCTATTTACTATGTCATAACTATCAATAACTGACTGAATAAATGATTTTGATATTGTCCAGGAATATGCAACTCCGCAAGATCAAACGGGCGGAGAAGAAAGGCACGGAAAGCGTGATGGACGAAAAGCTTACATTACTGTTCCAGTCTCAATTCAACGTTGGCGGCGGAGAATTGGTGTTCCAGGTCAGTGGTGATCATTATCATCATCAGCCTATTAATGTCCCCACTGCTGGGGCACAGGCCTCCCCTATAGATGGAATAGGGAGACTGGGCCATGATCCACTGATCCACCACGCGGGCCTAGTGCGGATTGGATCGTTAGCACCCAACGACTGCAAATGCAGCCGGGACCAACGACTTAACGTGCCTTCCGAGGCACGGAGGAACTCGAGATAGAAGATTTTTGGTCACCCATCCAATGATCGACCGCTACGAAAGTTGCTTAACATTAACGATCGTAGCCGAACGCGCTTACGATCTGCGCCATCAAGCTCCTAGCTGGTCATTATTATGAAAGAAAAGAGCAGACATATTTGTTTGTGTTTGGATCATAGAGCATTCACGGAAGAGAGTTGCCATAGCGACATTATCATCATCATCACCAGCCTATTAATGTCCCCACTGCTAGGGCACAGGCCTTCCCTATGGATGGAATAGGGAGATTGGGCCATAACCCATCACGCGGGCCCAGTGCGGTTTGGTGACATAATACTTACCAATTGATCACACGTAAACAATGACATACAATGCCAAATCGTGCACACACAAATCATGAGTATGCCTAATTTTTATGCCCAATGCGACAGAGGGGGAAGCTATGTATGCTTACTCCCCTCCTGGCCGTGTTGGGTCACTAATAGTTACACATACCCCCTTATTACGACGACCTCCGTGGCCGAGTGGTTTGTACGCCGGGTTTCATGGTGTCGCCGACTCGAGAGGTCCCGGGTTCGAATCCCGGTGGGGACAGATGTTTGTGTGATGAATACGAGCATTTGTACTCCAATCACGGATGTCTAATATGAATTTCTATATAAATTTGCTTATATATGTACAGTATATGTATTCTATCCGTTACCCTAGTATCCCATAACACAAGCCTACAGTGCTTACTTTGGGGCTAGGCTAATTGGTGTGAGTGTTGGAAATGTTTATTTTATTTATTTATTTTAATCTTTAAATTGGTACTTTATTTTTCAAATTGTCATATAGCCCATTGGTGTGAGACTCAGATATATCTATTTATTGATTGTTCTCAGGTGTGGACGCTATCCCTCCCCGTGGTGGTGATAGTGCACGGGAACCAGGAGCCCCACGGGTGGGCCACGGTGACGTGGGACAACGCCTTCAGCCCCCCGGGGAGGGTGCCCTTCGCTGTGCCGGACAAGGTGAGCCTGCAACGCGCTAACGAAATTCCTCGACGCACATATATATACAATTGTAAAGTTTACGAGCTACGATCATTTGACGACCTCCGTGGTCGAGTGGTTTGTACGCCTCGACTCGACTCGAGAGGTCCCGGGTTCGAGTCCCGGTGGGGGCAGATGTTTGTGTGATGAATACGGGCATTTGTACTCCAGTCAATGGATGTTTAATATGTATTTCTATGTAAATATACTTATATATGTATTCTTTCCGTTACCATCCAATAACACAAGCCTTACAGAGCTTACTTTGGGGCTGGACTAATTGGTGTGAGTGTTGAAAATATTTATTTATCATTCTTCCCTACAGATTCTGGAGAAATTGGTTTCCCATACAAGCTTTCACATCCATTTGCACCCCCTTAACAAAGGATGATTTCCGGGGTAATATTTTTTCTATGTCTTTTCCCATGACTCAAAATTATGTCCATACCTTTAACCCGGCGTCATGGGGGTGGAAAAGTGTTACACGGACGTGGGGGCTGGGTCATCATTACCCTAATAAGGAATGTGAATATTTCAGTATGTATTTGACAATTTTTTTTTTGTAATATACAATAATTTACTTTATAAGGATAATACAAAACCACAAACATAATGAAAATAGAAACTTTTATTAATAGGAACAAGGTTTTGAAAACTATTCACTAAAAATCAAGAAATTTGGCTTCCCTTAGCAAAACTTAACATAAAAAAAATATTAAGCAGTCTTTGGTGTTCTAATCGAACTCTAATATATCGTCTTATTTAAAATAATAAAAATAAGTTAGTCAGACTCATTATTATCAATACAACTAGCGCAGAAAGGCACTATATGAGGGCAAATATGCTTGTTGCATCCTTCACATACGTGTGTAGTTTTGCGATCTTTGCTTGCAGGACACACCTGACACCTCTTACGAGCATTTGTTTTTTTTGCTGGGGGCTCTGTAGATTCCAGATTGTATATTTTAGAATAAGTTGCAACATTTCGTCAGTAAAAAATAGGTTCCAGGTTGCGAATTTCGACAAAGCAGCCTTAGCTTCCAGAGCTACCCCCGGCAACTGGTCGATTATATTTTCAGCTCATGTTCGAACATTCTGTCGAAGATTTCGAATTCTGTCTGGCTTTCGAAACCAAGCCGTACCATCTTTACCAAAATATTGCCGTGTGTACTCAAAATCACGAGTTGACAAACTTGTTGATGCATATTCCTCCTGCTGCAGATTTGCTTCAGACTGTCTGATCCGAAATTTCTTGCTCCGTATTGGTTGCTTCACTACGCTCACTCACTTGGTCACCATCCTCTCCAGACTCCTGATCAGACGGCATAACATCAGAGTCCGATTCTTTAAGTACCGCCATAATACGACGTCTTCCCATTTGTTCGCGATCCATTATTACTCGTACTACTTACCGAAAAAATAAAAAAATCGTCAAAACCTCAAAACAATGTAGTAACACTAATACAAAGCATCATAAACAACAATAAATTTATTTGAAATGTAATTGATTAAAATGGCGTAAAACAGTTACACTGAATACAGGCATGGGTCATATTTATTTTTTTCCCGTGACAACACTTGTAACTCTCAACGTGGCTCTCGCCAAACTGAATTCGCGGGATAAACGTGTAGAGAGACTCGATGACTCCAGCTACTGTGAAGAGCGACAACGTCGCGCTCGTCGTTGTAAAATTATAAGCGAACTACAAAAGTGCGGGTAATTTTGACCCAGCCCCCATGACGCCGGGTTAATTTCGATGGGTTCTGTGATTTAAGCGTGGATAGGTGACAGGTGAGGAGCTCGATGGCGCAAGTGGTTAGCGCGTTCGGCTGCGATCGTTGAAGTTAAGCAACTTTCGCAGTGGTCGGTCATTGGATGGGTGACCAAAAATTTACTATCTCGAGCTCCTTCGTGCTTCGGAAGGCATTTTAAGCCTTTGGTCCCGGCTGCATCTGCAGTCGTTAACACCCACCAATCCGCACTGGGCCCGCGTGGTGGGTCATGGCCCAATCTCCCTATTCCATCCATAGGGAATGCCTGTGCCCCAGCAGTGGGGACATTAATAGGCTGGTGATGATGATGATGATGAGGTGACATGCGGACACAATTTACCATTAATAATATTAGTAACTAGCGGCTGCCCACGACTTCGTCCGCGTTAACATTTAGTTTTTTTTTTCTAATATAAAAGTAGCTTAAGTTACTCCTTATTAAATCAGCTACCTGCCAATAAAAGTCCCGTCAAAATCGGTCCAGCCATTACAGAGATTAATCGGACAAACAGAGACAAAAATTGTAAAAAATGTTCTTTTGGTGTATGTACCGTGTATATATATATATATATATATATATGTAGATTCGGATAATTAATGAAAATTCCCTTTTAAATTATAAATTCGTTTTATTTTTATTTTAGCGACTTTACTTCCTAACGTCCTAATCCCGATTACCATTCCATTCTCTCCATCACAAAATGGCGCTAACACCCTTCTGTCTTTCTTCCTCATGCATACGTCTCGCTCACACACACGTTACGTTCCGATTCCCACATTCGGCCGTCCTGTCCCAGATATGCCACACATTCATACTCTACAATATAAAGGCCTCTAATTAAATGAAAAACATGACAACTAAATTAAATATTTGAATTTAACAACCTTTAGAAAAGAAACACAACTTTTATCTAACTGCATTTTAACTAGATAACTAAAATAAACAATACCAACTTCGTTTAACTTTTTTACATAAACAAATACTACTTATCAATATTTAAAGGAAGGTATTTCCTACGTTTCTCCAACTCAAAGTGGCATGAAAGAGAATAAAGGAATGCACGCCCTGCAACAAAAGAAAACACTGGTAGTTAGTTATGGGTAACAAGTAATAGTAACCTTTAAATGAAAATGTATGATCAGTCTTCGAGACCCTCAGTATCATATTCTGGCCATCTCTTCATCTGGTCAGCAGAGCTGAATGTTCTCTTTGGGCCCTCCTGTGAGGTATCCGTTTTTTCTACGTCATAGCGGTCGTTGCGTTTACATTTCACCACCTTGTATGGACCAAGGTATTTAGGTTTCAACTTAAGACCTGGACCAAATTGAGTTCTCTTAATGGCTACCACATCACCTTCTTTGTACTTGTTACTTTCTTTCCTTTTCTTATTGTAGGTTTTCTTGTTTTCTTCCTGAATTTTCAGTATCTGCTCTTTAGCCTGTACTCTCAATTGTTCTCTATTTTCATTAAATTCTAATAAATTTTCTTCTTCCAATAATCTCAAAATTTCTAAGTCTTCTTTATGTTTCATTTTCACACCCATCAACAGTTCAAACGGTGTCGTGTTTACACTCCTCTGATACGTGCTGTTCATAGCTCTCTGAACACTACTCACATGCTTATACCATACATTGGGCTTATCAATACACAATTTTGTCAAAATTGGCAAGATTACCCTGTGCACTCTCTCGACCTGTCCATTACCTCGCGGCACACCTGTTGTAATCTTTACATGACAGATATTCTCTTCATCACAGTATTTTGCAAACTCGTTACCTGTGAAAGGTGTCCCTCTGTCAGTTATAAATCTGCGAGGATTTCCAAAAATCTGTTGGTGTATACGGAGCTTATTTAATGTTTCTTGACATGATGTAGACTTTGTGGGGAATAACCACACAAATTTCGTGAATGCATCTATAACAGTGAGGATGTAATTATATTGCTTCTTCGTTTCTGTGAGCGGTCCCACGTGATCTAAATGCAATGTATCAAAAGGTACATTTTCTTTTTCTATAGGGTTTAAGAACCCTTCCTGTTTCCCCTCTTTCCTTGTAGCTAACAAACATGGTATACAACTTAACAGGTACTCATCTATTTTTTTATCTGCTTCTCTAATGTAATAATCTCTGTTTAAAAGATCCTTCATCTTCCTCTTACCAAAGTGACCCACACTGTGTACTTTGTTAAGTATCTCCTTTTCTAAGCATTTTGGCACAACAAGAAGTTTTTCTTCTCCTTTATATAATACATCATTTTCTAACCAATAATCATAGTATCGTTTTTCCTTCAGAATTTCCTTTATAGCTTTTAAACCATCATCCTTATCTTGTGCCAACCTGATATTTTCACCTAAAGTCATAATCATGCCGACTGTAGGCAGTCTACTCAAAGCATCAATATGCTTCATCCGTGTGCTTGATCTGTGCTCCACTTCATAATCATACTCATTGAGCATGAGCACCCACCTGGCAATCTTTGGTGTTAAATCCTTCTTCTTGAGTGTCATCTCAAATGCTTTGCAATCAGTAACAATTTTGAAGTGGATTCCATGGAGATAGTGACGAAATTTTTTCACTCCTTCAATTATTGCTAATGCCTCCAGTTCGTAACTTGAATATCGACTCTGAGCATCGCTAGTCTTTCGGCTCATATAGTGGACTGGATGTAAACCTGAATCTGAATGATATTGCATCAGTATGGCATTAAAAGCAATACTTGATGCATCAGTATGCAGCTCTGTTTTCAATCCTGGATCAAATATCTTAAGCAATGGTTCACTTAGCAACTTCGTCTTCAAAATCTCAAAGGCATTTCTCTGTTCTTCCTGAAATAAAAATTCTCTGTCTTTTCGTAACAAATCTGTCAATGGTTTAGCTATCATGGCAAAATCTTTTATATACTTCCTGAAATAACTTGCCAATCCTACAAAACTATGCAGTTCTTTAAAGTTCCTTGGTTGGGCATACCTCATTACTGCATCCACCTTTTCTGGGCTAGGTCTTACTTCTCCGTTTCTTACTAGATGACCCAAATATTCAATCTCTCGTTGCAAAAGCCTCGCTTTTTTCCAATTTATTTGTAATCCATACTGAGACGCCACCTGTAGAACCTGTTTTAATCTTTGTAACCCTTCTAGTTCAGTGGAAGCTGGAATAATAATGTCATCGATGAAAATCATGAGAACACCCTGCGATATCAAGCCTCG